ACCAAAGGGGCCTCCATCGAGCTAAAAACACGTTTATCCGTGCGTCGAAGCTTTAATTGCACCAGGAAATCCCGCAGCGGCAAGCTTCGAAGCGCATAAAGCCCTACCTGAGCCCGCTTGGGTTTTGGAGCGGAGGTTTCCCGAGGCCGTGGCATCCTGGTGCCTTTTCCACGCCAGCCTTGACGAGTGCGAAAGGGCTTTTTGCGCGGCAGCTGAGCTCGAGCCCTCGGCCGCCTGAAACCCGACTCTCTTTCTCGGAGACTTTTCCTGACCCGAGCTGGCCCGTAAATAGAGCGCGTGCCCCCGGAGGTGAGCGCGCCAGCCCTCCTGGCCCGACGTCTGACATTTTCTCTCTGGGAAGCGGGGAGAAGGTTTCAACAGGCACCCCGGGTTTTGAGCACGTTCGTGGCTCTTTCCCCCCCTGCCCCGTGGGGTTTTTTTCCGCTTTCTCCCCATGGAAGAGGCACGTTCTTTCCCTGGGAGCGAGCGCTGGTAGGTGGTGGCGGGTGACGAGGAGCCTTTCCTCCTTTGGGCGGCGTGGCGGGATTGCGCTTGGCGCGTGTTAACGAGCCTGAATTCTTGGCGGTGCAGTTATTCCCTGGAATTAGGTTTTTTAGGAGAGCAGATGTGGCTTTGGAGGTGAGAATTGAGCATGGCTGGGGTTCTTCTGGATTCTTCTTCCCCGGCTTTTGCAGGAGATTCTCTCCCACCCCAGAACCAGAGGCCTTAAGTGAAGGGTCGTTCCCCAAAAGCTGCTCGCAATAGCAAACCATCATCTGCTTGTTGATTATTCCTGATCGGTTGGGTCAGGCTCTTGTTCCAGGCAAAGACCAGAAGTTGTTTTGGAATTTTTTTCCCTCCTTCGCAGCTTGAGATAAACGTGGGTTTCAGGTCGTGGGCTTTCGGTGACGCGAGGTCTTGGCGAATGCAAATCCGGAGGCTGGATTTGATGGTTTGAAGAGGTTTTGCCATGGATCCAGCTCTGCGCCTGTGGGAAAAGGGAGCAAAAGCTCCTCTGTGCGGGGTGATCATGCTTCAGCTTTGCTGCTTTGTGGCCCCGGCCACGTTTGCATGAGACGAAGCGGAAGAAAGCAGAAAACCGGGCGCTCCCAAGGCTGCAGAAACGTCAGAGCCTGCAGAGAGGGCGAATGTTTCCTTTCGTGAGATCAAAGGGTTAAATCCCCCTTAGAGTGGGAGCTGGTATTTGGCCAGGTGAGTCCTCGGGAAAGGGTTTTAATGTTCACCTGAAGGAAAAAAAGCCCATTTAACTCCTCCTTCCTTGCACCCCCCTGAGCCCAAAGCCTGGGGCTTAGTCCTTCGCTAAAGCCCCTTGGGAGAGCCCCAAGAGCTCGGACCCCCGCGGGGTGCTGGGGAGCCGCAGCTCCGGGCTCTGCGTTTGCTCCGGGCTCTGCTCGTGTGGACGGGCAGGAGGATGTTCTGGTTTGTGGTGTCGTCGCTCTTGGCCGTGGTTTCATCTCGAAACAAGTGCCCAGAGGCAGCTTCTGACACGCGTTCTCTTAAATCCGTGTCCACAGGCTCAGGGCTTTCGCTGGTGGTTTTTAAATGGGCTTTATTCAGCGAGTTCTTGTTGCCTTTGGAGCGTAGGAGAGTGTCCGTGATGGCAGGGGAGTGGAGGCAGCGAGTTTTTGCATCGTCTCAAGGATTTGGCGGCGTCCTTCTCCTGGGAAAAGTTGGTACCACGGGGCTTGAACGGCCTCGCCTTCCCCAGCTGGCGCCAGGAGTGGCGCGACGGCATCCAGAGGACGAGGAGCCCAAGCTCGTGTCCTCTGGAGCAGCTCCGGCCTGGATTTATAAATCCTCCCCTAACGGCCAGGAAGGTGCTCAGGCTGTCACAGGTTCACGGTTCGCGGCAAAGCCACCCCGACGGCTCCCCAGGGCAGCTCCTCCTGTCCTGGAACATCAGTTGGGCAGGAGTTGTGGTGGCTCTGGGCAAGTGGCAGACCTGTGAGGTGTAAAGGTGGGGCCTGCGCTTGTCTCAGAACTGGTTTATAGAATTCTGGAATGTTTTAGGCTGGAAGGGACCTTAGAGATCATCTCATCCAACCCCCTGCCATGGGCAGGGACGCCCTTAACCAGCCCAGGTTGCTCCAGGCTCCGTCCAACCTGGCCTTGAGCACCTGCAGGGAGGGGGCAGCCACAGCCCCTCTGGATGGGTTATTCCAGAGTCTCGGCCCCCCCGCCCTCAAGAGTG